TCGTCATCTTTTCCCGTTCATGCTCAAGACGCGTGGGGTGGGTGAGTATTTAGTTAGTTCGTTTCAACGTACTCAAATGTGTGGTCTGCAGATAGTCAGGTTGGTTGACCCAAGGAGTTTTACAGAGGATCATGCACGGGATCCGAACTCGAGAATTTCGTGTTTGCGGTCGTGAGCTCTAACATACGACCAGTCCGGCCCTAACGTTGGGGTATATTGAGAGGCTTGTCAAAACTTGGAAGTTAAAATACTTAAGGCGTGGAATGGAGTATAAAGGCAGTTCGAATAAGTTTGGCTTGGAGTCCAGGGGCAGTTCGAATACTTTGGGCTTGAAGTTTAAGGGCAATGCGAATACTTTAGACTTGGAGTTTAGGCCAGTTATAATCTGAGGCTTGAAATTTAGGAGGCAGTTCGAATACTTTAGGTTTGGAGTTTAGGCGCAGTTCGAATACTTTAGGCTTGAAATTTTGGGGGGCAGTTCAAATAATACTTTAGTCTTGGAGTTTAGGCCAGTTCGAATACTTTAGGCTTGTCGGGAAAGGGGGGGGGGGGCTAAGGGAAATTCGGAGACTACCAACAGATCAGCTTAATGTGCGAAGATACCAAGACAATCGAAAACAAACCCACCAGCATGACCTAAGGAACAAACATCAGCGTCTTGACACTCACCAACCTAATCAAGCTGAAAGCTACGCAGCCAACTGGATCGAATCTGCCCTCTACCCCCCACCCCATCCCCACCCCACTCAACAATCGATGTGGGGGTCTCGATCGTTCTTTGATTAACTCCCCGACACAGACGATTAGTCGAATAGAAGAGTCGCTGAGTTTTTTTTTAACACGACGACATTCGAATGTTAAACTTGTCGTCACAATCACACCCTTCCTAAAGCGTGTTTCACGCTGTTTATTGCTCAGTAATTTAACGTGGTTCTCAATGGATGTTGATAAAATATGGTAGCATTTCTAATATACCGTAACAGAAATTTTACAACGTTTACTTTTAAAGGTTTTATTTTAAAGTGTTGTACATTAATTTACAATTTAATACGGGAAATATTTTTTTAAAATGGAAACAATGTAATCAATTTATTCATAGATGTTTACAGTAATTATTTATTGAACTTTCCTCACAACTGTAAATGCATATATTCAAGGGAAATAACTTTTTATTTAAGTTAACGTCAATTTTTGGAGCTGCATTCTAAATATGTTTTCCTTTTAAAGACGACAACAGAATAATTAAAAGCGGATTTGTAAATTTATAAAATTATTGCAAGGGTATAATTCTGGATTTATTGGGTAAATTTTTTTTTGTCGGACCATCATCATCAGAACCGTAGTTTATTGGTTGAAATGTGAAAAGGTATGGTCGGCCGTGACCGAATCGGCATTTTCTTGCGTCTTATCCCGTCATTTTTTGTTAAGAATATTCAAGTGATCGACATGTACGTTGTCTGAATTGTTAGCGTCTAGACCTCCCCCTCCTCCCCCACACACACACACACATACACGAAAGGGACCCGCACCTCTTTCCTTCGATCGTCTGCAGCGGTTTTACAAATTCAATTTATATTGATCTTTATATGGATCCTGTTTCATTGTCCCGTTACCCACCCTACCCCCCCCCCCCTCTCTTTTTTTTGTTTTTGAGACCAAATCTTCAACCCCCCCCCCCCCCCCCCACCCCAACCACGCTCCCACCTGATGTTTTAGAATTGAGATCGAATTTACTCCCCCCCCCCCCCAAATTACACTTTGTTTTTTAGACCTGATCTTCACCCCCCCCCCCCCCCCCCTCCCTCCATCTCGCTCCTACATGATGTTTTAGTATTGAGATCAAATTTACTCCCCCCCCCCTTTCCAACTTTGACTCGCCAAATCGTATTTTAAGTACACCCCAACACACCCCCAGAAACTTTAAAACGCTAAAACGTTAAGTTCTCCCTACTCGCTCTTTGACACTATATGGTAGGGTGGGAGGGGAGGGGGGTGAATCTGATGGAGCTCAACCACCGGAACCGATCCTCTGATTTTTATTTTTTTAAACAAACACCCAGGGTCGTGAAGGACAGTGAGATGGTTTGTGGGGGTTAAAAAAAAAGGGAGACTAAAATGGAGGCTTCACCCATTCTACTAGTCATTGTATTTGTCTGATAGGGGAGTGAGGGGGGGGTAGAGAAAAGAAGCGCAAACATACGAAGATTTTTTTACCCCACTCTTGTTGTGGGAGGGGGTGGGGGTGAAGAAGGGAGAAAAGGGGGGGGGAGACATCACAAATATACGGAGGCTTTACCCACTGTCCCTGTAATGAAAATCGGGAAGTTCCGTTGGAAATCGAAAGACGTCAAAAGATTGCAATTTGTCGGGTAAAGGACAATAATTCCGCTAGCATCGACCGACATTTGAATTTGTAAAGGGCGATTACGGGCGATTTGACACCCGCCCGGCTGTCTTTTTGGAATAAAAAAAAATGGTGAAGCGGTGGGGGGGGGGGGGGGTTGTTTCGGGGGGTGGGGGGCTCGCCACTTAGAAGCTGGGGGTAAAAAAGGGAGGATGCCAGACCAGGAAATGAGAGCCGCTAGATAGAGGGAAATCCTTCGTGCATGCTATCGTTGGATACACGCCTTCTTCGTAAAGCGGCGCTGGAATCTTGTCTGAAAATTGGTTGTAATCTGAAAACTTGGAATTATTGCACGCAAGGTTTTCAAAGTCGGGGGAACAATTAATTTTTTTTTAAATTTTTTTTTATTGGGCGTAGTTTAATTATAAAACAGTTTTTTTTTAAAAACAATATATTTTATTTCGGGAGATCAGAAACCTTTCCAGTAATAGGAAATTAGAAAGATTAAAAAATAAATGTTTAATTAGGGTTGGCCAAATAGCAGGAGATGGGAAACAATTTAGGATGTACAGGGCTGAAATAAGAAGAGGGTTGCAAAAATTGGGTGGGGGGAGGGGGTGAGGGGGGTGATAAGACTTCGAAAACATAAGCACTTTCAGGCGAGAAAGTAGGGGCGCCACAATGGTGTCACAATGGTTTCACAATAGCATAACAAAGGCGTCACAATGGCGTCACAGTGGCGTCACAAATGGCGTCACAACGGCTTCACAATGGCGTCACAGTGGCGTCACAAATTCGTAACGAGAGGAGATAAAAACAAAACGTTCACGTGACAGCCATCTACCGTGACGGTTGGACGTGTTTGTATACCTGGCATGCCGACCCAGCAATCATGAGGATAGGATCTCATCGGTAACTGGGGAAGGAAGGGTGTGTGTGTGTGGGGGGGGGGGGGGGTGTTCGATGGTCGGCATTTCGTTTTGTGGCTGTTTGTTGTCAGTCTAAAAAACGTATACTTTGTTACCAGTTAAGGAACAGTGGTTATAGCGATTTTTAAATATCTAAGTCGAAACAACACACACAAACACACACACACACACACACATATTATATATATATATATATATATATATATATATATATATATATATATATATATATATATATATATATATACACACTTATATATATGTACATATATATATATATATATATATATATATATATATATATATATATATATATATATATATATATATATATATATATATATATATATATATATATATATATATATATATATATATATATATATATATATATATATATATATATATATATATATATGTACATATATATATATGTACATATATATAAGTGTATATATATATATATATATATATATATATATATATATATATATATATATATATATATATATATATATATATATATATATATATATATATATATATATATATATATATATATATACACTTATATATATGTACATATATATATATGTACATATATATATATATATATATATATATATATATATATATATATATATATATATATATATATACACTTATATATATATATATATATATATATATATATATATATATATATATATATATATATATATATATATATATATATATGAAGAAGATGAGTTAATAGTTGTATGATTGTATGATATGAACAAAGCTGAAGAAATCACTCATGTTTTGAATATAAACTTGTGCAATGTAGTGGCCGTCGAATATAAAGAAAAAACATTGATGAAAATACCAATGTTTATCGTGACTAAATAGATTCATCATTGGAAAGATGAGGTCTAATCAATAGATACTCCCAATACGCCTGAGACATACCGATGTCTTTCGGCAATGAATGTAATGTCTTAACGTTTTTAATTGGGCGCATGAAGGCTTTGATTGGTTGTCGATAGTCCATAGGTTAGGTCTGTCCGTCGGCGCTGGATGCCGTCTCTTGTAATTACCGGCATTGTCAGAGGTCAAGGTTGCTATTGATGAGGTAATCAATGGCGGCGGAGGGACCCAGGTTATGAGCAAGTCGGGGTTTTTAAAGACGGGCCGGGAATATTTACGTCATTATAGCAATAGCGAGTTCAGACTTGAAATATGTGTTTCTTTCAGGCATCTCTCAAGTGGTTGGAAGGGGGGGGGGGACACCCCCCTCCGAGCAATGCTACCTCCCCCCTCCCCAAGACGAAATAGAAATAATATATAACTTATAAAGAAAATATCTACTTAATCCAGTGCCCCCAACATCTCACCCCAGGAAGTTTCAAGAGCCTAACCTTACATTTAAAATGCAGATGGAAGTGGAGGGAGGGAGTAAAACAGCAGAAGCCCCGCTGTGGTCAAACCCCCTATGGTCAAAGCCAATCCGTTGTCAAAGCCCCGCTGTGATCAAACCTCCTATGGTCAAAGCTCCTGTGGTCAAAGCACCTAGGAACCTCTCAAAGATCCTATAATGTCCCAACGGAACATTATATGGCTATCAAAGATCCAATAATGTCCCCCAGAACCCTTATGTGGCTACCTCTATCAAAGATCATGTAATGTTCCACAAGTTGCCAGTATGGCTACCTCTATCAAAGATCCTATAATGTCCAACAAGCTACCAGTATGGCTACCTCTATCAAAGATCCTATAAAGTCCCACATGTTGCCATTATGGCTACCTCTATCAAAGATCCTATAATCTCCCAACGGAACCCTATATGGCTACCTATCAAAGACCCCATAATCTCCCAACAGAACCCTATATGGCTACCTCTATCAAAGATCCTATAAAGTCCACAAGTTGCCAGTATGGCTACCTCTATCAAAGATCCTATAAAGTCCCACCAGTTGCCAATATGGCTACCTCTATCAAAGATCCAATAATGTCCCACCAGTTGCCAGTATGGCTACCTCTATCAAAGATCCTATAAAGTCCCACCAGTTGCCAATATGGCTACCTCTATCAAAGATCCTATAAAGTCCCACCAGTTGCCAATATGGCTACCTCTATCAAAGATCCATAATGTCCCACCAGTTGCCAGTATGGCTACCTCTATCAAAGATCCTATAGTCCCACCAGTTGCCAATATGGCTACCTCTATCAAAGATCCATAATGTCCCACCAGTTGCCAGTATGGCTACCTCTATTAAAGATCCTATAAGTC